CCCAAAAAGGGAAGCTTTTCTGCGCCAAACATGAACTTGTCTGCATTGGCGTACAGTTTGTTAGTGCGCATGCACTCGAGCACCGCTCTTTGATGGGCGATGTGGTTCTCATAATCTGTCCTCCCGTGCTCCGCACGACTGTGAACGAAAATTTCGTCAAAATATGTCTGTGCATACGCCCTGTGGGACCTGAACAACTGCGTCACAAGACGACTAAATGTTGCTGGTGCATTTGACAGCCCTTGGGTCATCACCAGCCACTCCCAGGACATGCCGCTCGGAGTGCTTACCGCTGTCAGCGGAATGTCACTCACTCTCATGAGCAATTGGTAATATCCATCGACAAAATCGAGTGCACTGTACTTCGTACATCCCACCATGCTGTTCTGAAGAACATCCTTTCTACGAATTGGCGTCTGTGCCGGAATGATGGCAGCGTTGAGCTTATTCTAAGCATGAACGATACGCTACTTGCCGTTCGGCTTCCGAACACAAAACGTGGGTGTCGAATGGGGATACTTGCTCTCACGCACCATCCCTGCGGCGTGCTTCGCACGAAAAAAGGCGTCAATGACGTCGCACTGCTCCTTGGGTAGGGGCCACTGGCGTGTTACACAGTATTTAGTTTCCGGAACCAGGTCGATCTCATGACGCACACCTCGGTCCGGAGGTAGGACCGAAAGGCGGTGTTTGGAGACGACTTTTTGAAATTCCTTTACCAAAGGATAGTTCGGATCCAAGGGATTCCTTATATTCGACGATCCACTTCGTGCGTTCAGCACTCTCTTGGCGTCCTCCAAGACAGCTTTATCTGGAAGCGATGACGAGTTTATCTCCTAGTCCGGTCGTACCATGACCACTTCGGCCAAATCGCCTGCCTTCAAAACACTGCCGAACTCTTCAAAGGACATCTAGTCCAGCTCACGAGAGCATCTACTGCAGGCATAGCCTCGAGGCGGACGTCGCCATCTTCCTCCCCCGTTTCTACCGTTGACGAGGGAGTATAACTGTGCTCCCTCGTCAACGGTAGACACAACGTGGATCAGGGTCGACGCCTGGCGTCTTGCAGCCACCATACGGCGTCGCCGTCGCCCCTGTACAGAGATTCTATGTCTCGGTGAGACCAGGGAGAACACGCACTCCGCGTCGTCCGGTGTCACCCTCACTGTCCACTCCTTTGGAGCTCTGATCTTATCTACAACATCTAATGAAAAGCTGCCAACCCCGCAGTCTTCGTTCAGTGGATAAAGTGCCACTCCACGCGCATCTGAAGAGTCGTGCCCAAGATGCCTCGAACTCTGTCCGACCACGCCATCAAGGTTTTAGCGACTGCTTCGCAACGAGAGCAGTGCTCAGTGGTTTACGTGCCACTTCACGTGCATCAACGGGGCCTCGCCCACGATGCCTCGGCCCTTGGCCGACCATGTCACGCATGACATGCAGCGACTGCTTCGATA